AAATGCTTTTAAAATTGTAAATGGGAAACACAGTCAAATATTTTAAAATACATAATAAATGTTGCATGTGTCATGATGATTTTCCAAATTTTGTATATTAGAATTGCATCAGATCTTTTCTATTCAGTCATGTGTTTGTCATGAAATAAACCTTGATGTTTCTCAGAAATACAGTGTGACAGCTAGTTATTGGGTGGTTAAACTTACCTAAAGCCATTTTAACAACTAAAATTAATCAGAAATGGATCCTACACTCCAACCAGTCACCAGCTCAGTCACTGACCCCCCCCCCCCCCGCTCTGCTGTTAATTTTCCATCTGACATTGCACAGTAGTTTAACCCATGTCATAGAGCTCCTGACCACAGAAAATCTGCATGGAGAAGGGTTGATTTACACCATTAAATCTTGCATTATGGTGTTGGAGAGGGGAGTACACAGCAAGCCAGCACAACCTAAAATGTGGCCAGGGATGGCCAGTGGGAGTGTGATTCACATACAATGCCTGCTGGTGGAGATCCAGTGGAGTCTCAACTACAAGGTAGCACACATCATGAGCAAGGGTAGTGCAAACATTGCCACCCTCCCTGAGACTGAATCCTTGGTTTGAAATGCACTGGCATCTGCTAGTGCAGGGAGTTGCAGTTTATACTTTACTGCCCTAGCAGGATTCAGTCAATCCCTAGGAGTGAAATTCACTGGCTCCCTTAATGTGCCTACAGAAAGGCCCAAGTGCAACTGAAACACCCTGGCTGTGCTGTGTGCAAGGGGGCCGGGAAGAGAAGAGGCTATTCATGAGAGACTCTGCATCTTTCTACATACTGTGGGACTGAGGACCTGTCTACGCACATATTGCACCACATATAGTTAGTGATACAGCCCCTCTACTGCACACACTGTTAAATTAGTATAGTTTCTTATAAGGTAAGGGGAATAAAGTGTAACAGTATAGCTACAGCCACAGGAGGGATTGTACAGCGTTAATTATTTCAATAGGAAAACAAGTCCCTAACTGAAATAATTGAATTGGTACAAAACAGTATGTAGACCAGACCTAAACATCATGGTGGCACTCCTCCACATCAGTATCTGTGTTTGTGTAGGGACTAGGGATGTGTGCTTAAGCTGAGGGAGAGTGAGAGCTTGAGGAGGTAGAGGCAGAGTCAGTATATCTGTGAACTTCAGGGATCCACTGTGTGTTCTGCTGCTAGGAGAAAAAATTCATCTACATATGCCCAAGCTCCCCCCACCCTCACCCATTTACTCAGGTTCTGCACTTGGGCTCTGGATTTCAGGCTAAGTGAAAGTTTCTGGCAAAATAGGTACATTAAAAAGCCCTATTAATAAATTTGTATTTTGACTATTTCTAGCCAGTTCCAATCAAAAGTACAAAGTTGTGGCAAATGCACATTTTTTTTTCTCCTAAGCACTGATTACTTAGGATTTATGGTTTTAAGGCAGTAGCCTAAATGTTTGTTTCCCTGGAAATGTGCTTTTACTATAAGTTATGGTTTAGTGAACTGTAAAATGCCCCACAGATGCTGATCTACGAATTAGCAATTCGTAAAGCTCTCCAACAAAATGAAGATGTCTCTTTGCAAATCTGAGCTTCACAGAAGGTTTAAGCAAGGGTGTGTATGGCGGGGGGATGGGGGCGGGGGAGAAGGGTGGCTGTTGACCACTGGCTTGTCAGAGTTATGATTACATTTCACTGGTTGATTAAGTGATCCCTGTACGGGGTTTGTGTGTAAATTTAGGTTTGTTAAAGTGCTTCAGTATCCTTTGGTTGAAAGACGAGCAAATATAGAAACACTATTGGGTATAAAGTAATCCACTATTTTAATATGCTCCTGAACAGCTTTAGAAGCCTGATCCTGCTGAGTGGCTTCAATGCCTGTTGAAGTCCATTGATGTGAAGGATGCTGAACATCCAGCATTTGGCACCCAGGAGGACTGAAACTCTTAAGGAAGAGCATAAAAATATTAATTGCTTGTAAAGACAATTTTTTTTGAAGGAAAGGAAACCAGACCTCAGAAGACTAAGATTTTTGTTGCTTCAGTGTAAGAGCAAACAGACCTGAATCTCACTGGGTGCGTAGCATGGCGAGGGTTTGAGGCTGTGGGCTGTGTCCCAGATCATTGGATATGGCTGACTTTCTGGTGTCCTTTAAAAAATGTGTTTAGCATAATCAATAAATCAGGGGCCATGGATTTCTCCTGCAACTCTTTTTAAATTACGTGTGTGATGTTGTGCAGTCTATATGGTTTTATAAAAACGTGATAATAAGTCAATATAATGTAACTGGGATAGTTTTAGAGAAAATACGGTAAGTGAATGTAACGTAACTGGGATATGCTTCATGCAAAAGGTCTCTTGTAAGGTATCATTACAAAGCTTATAATCTACTGAGTATGATCATCTGATTTGTATAAATGTACCACTCTTGTATCTAAAACTAGAAATATAAAATGTAACTCTGAGGGCCTATTGTAATTATGTAAAGTGTGGGCCATTAATGATGGTTTGGAATCTTGATGACTCCCATTAACCAGGACCATTGTCTGCAGATGGTTGTGTTTACCTGTTAGTCTTCCTGTATGTGTGTGTGCTGGCCAGTGGGCAATGAAGTCTTGCAGTGACATGTGATCATGTCACCTGAACTGGAATCCATCTTTAACCTGGTGCTTTTCCAGTGAGGGGGGGTGGAAACCCAGAGGGACAATGGGTTCCCGCCTTATGCAAAAGATGTATAAAGGGGTGGAACAGAACAAAGGGGAGAGAGGAGCCATCATGAAGAATCCCCTAGCTACTACCTGAGCTGGAACAAGAGCTGTACCAGGGGAAAGAATTGTGCCCAGGCCTGGAAGGTGTCCAGTCTGAGAAAAACTTACTGAAGCATCTCTGAGGGTGAGATTATCTGTATTCAGTTTGATTAGGCATAGATTTGTGCATTTTATTTTATTTTGCTTGGTGACTTACTTTGTTTTGTCTGTTACTACTTTGAACCACTTAAATCCTACTGTCTGTATTTAATAAAATCACTTTTTATTTAGTAATTTACTCAGAGTATGTATTAATACCTGAGGGAGCAAACAACTGTGCATATCTCTCTATCAGTATTAGAGGACGAACAATTTATGAGTTTGCCCTGCATAAGCTTTATGCAGGGTAAAACGGATTTATCTGGGTTTAGACCCCATTGGGAGTTGGACATCTGAGTGCTAAAGACAAGCACACTCCTGTGAGCTGTTTTTAGGTAAACTTGCAGCTTTGGGACAAGTGATTCAGACCCTGGGTCTGTGTTGGAGCAGACTGGAGTGTCTCACTCAGCAAGACAGGGTGCTGGAGTCCTGAGCTGGCAAGGAAAACAGAAGCAGGGGTAGTCTTTGCACATCGGGTGGCAGCTCCCAAGGGGGTTTCTGTGATCCAACCCGTCACAACGTGGTATTCTAGACACTGGAAAAATAACCATCTCACACCTGAGCTCCCAGCTCTGTGCATCAGCTGGGATCTAAAGATCACAAAATGGTTCATGTATACACAACGTTATCTGATTCCACCTGCCCCCCCAAAACAAATGTGACTGGGGTCAGATCCTTGGGTATGGCTGCAGTGCACACAATGCAAGTTGGGGTTGGGGAGGGGGGCAAAGGTGACTTATAGCTCTCTTCTGCAGTCCTCTATACTGCTGCAGCTATGGATAGACCAGTACCCTTCTTTGTCACGTTAGAGCAGCAAGTTCATGCCACGACCAGTCTGCAATGGCCCCTGGAGCCGAAGGCACCGGTGAGGAGCAGTATGGCATGGGGGTCCCAGCCACACTCTCTTTTTCCTTGCTACCCCAGCAGCCTGGAGTGAGAGAGGCATAAAGCCACCACTGCACCAGCAGCGTATCTTATATGGGGTTATCCTTCCTGGGGCCAGTTAAGTTGGGTTTAGGACTAATTCATGCTGGCTGCTGCACCACACTAGAGAATCAGGTGCTATGTTGCTGAAGACCAGCGTGCAGGGGTTGAGTGAGGTAGGAATGGGGGCTCTTATTCTCAGTTTTCCAGTGATTGGACCTTTAATTGCACTTAAAGCTAATCAGGTTCCAATAAGGTGCTCTCACTTGAGGGACCACCAGAATGTATATTCCTGCCTTATAAATAAATGCAAGTTTGGCACAAGTTTTGCTTTGCCCTTATTTGTCCCAAGAGAGGAGCCCCCATACTGCCAAGTCAGCTCCATTTACTAGGAATTGCTGGATTTGTGGCCGCCCCAGGGTCTGGCTGCTGTGCAGAGAGAAGGGTATCTGCAGGCAGGGATGAGCCAGAGCTCCTGCCTCCTCTGTGCTTCGCGCCCCAAAGGAGAATTCTCCAGCTCAGCTTGGTTGTTAAAACGTGAGCAAGAGTAGCTGGATCCTGCGGTAGTGAAGTGCCCCTCTCGGAGTGAACTGCAGAGACTGGCAATGGGATGGGGCCAGAGGGGAGTTGTGCCTGAGTGACTGTCACAGGGCTGAGTAGGGAGGGAAGGGGTGGAGAGTGAGATCCGCTCTTAGCTCACACGCACAGCCCTATAAAGCTAGGGCTGCTCTGTTGAACGGGCTGCATTTCTCCTGCTGCTGCAGCAGCAACGTCTCTGCCTCCCCTCTGCCCTGCCTGAGAGGGTCTAGAGGGATTAAGGAAAGTAGGGAAATCCATCACGTGGAGGGAGAGGGGCGGTCATTAGCATTCCTGTGCTGTGCCTGAGCTGGCAGCATCTCAAGGAGAGATCCGGGGCCAGCCCAGGAAGGGAGCTGGGACCAGGAAGAGGCGCTGGAGCCCTGTTCCTGACACCCGGTCCCCCAGAACCCCTCAGCCCTGTGTGCCACCAAGCACTCGCCTTCCAGTCTCTGCTCTGCGTCTCTTTCCCGTTCTTTATCCCGCTCGGAGTGCCTGTTCTCGGCAGCTGCCTGGCTGATTTGGGGCTCGAGCTGAACTTTGCTTCTGGGTTTGGGGCTCTGCAGCTGCTGCACTTCCCCAGCGAGGCTGGCTCTTGGGATGGGACTCCGGGAGCTGACTGTCTGGCTGATCGTGGCTGTGGGGCTCGTACATGGTGAGTGGACTTTTGTTCTCCTCTTTCCCTTTCTGCCCTTGTGGCTGTGTATCTGAGGGCTCTGCTTGCCCACGCATCCTTTGCTAAGCCCCTTCTCTCCACAGGGCTCGGGCTGGAGTTTACTCTCCTAGTTCTTAGTCATCAGGTGTAGCCTTGGTGATGAGGCCACTGTGCAGATGCTCTGCAAACTGCCCCTAGCCCAACAGGTAGCTATGGGCAATGTTTGGCAAGCTGAGAAGAGGGGATGTGATCCCTAATGTGCTGGCATGTAAGGGGGATACCCATGTGGGTTAGGAAGAAAGGCAATTGCCTTTAAATCCTTTTGGAAAGTCTTCTGCAGGACTCTTCTGCAGTGGTGGGTGGACTGATGCCCACCCCCATATTGATTGGTGCTCAGATCAGTGGAGTGAAAACTGATCCCTTGCCCAGATCACTGTCTGGGATCAGCCTCAATAGTTTTTACCCCCTTGGCAGGGGTAGGGGCTAAAAGATGAGGGGGGGGGAAACATACCCCTGGCTTTTAGACAGTAAGCTCCTCAGGGTAAGGACCCTGGCTTCCTTTGTGTGGGGAACACAGGGCTGGTGATCAGGAAATAAGCTGGGGTGAAGGTGTGGGGTGGGAAACAGATGACATTGCTTTGGGATGGGGACAGACACAGGTCAAACACAAAAAGGGCTGATTCCTACAGTGATGTGGATTTCCACGTGTACACAGTCCTCTAATTCTTTCCTGTATTTGCTGTTCCATCCCTCCACCCCAGGGGTATGATTTCTCTCTCACCAGAAGTAAATGACAGAATGATATGGAGCTTTGAGGTGCACAAAGATGATAAAATTTCCCCAGTGGTGTGATTTAGTATTTGTTTTACTGTAACGCCTCGGAATCCTAGTCATGGACCAGGACCCCATTGTGCTAGGTGCTGTTCAAGCACAGGGCAAGAAGACTATCCCTGCCCCAGAGAGTTTACAATCCAATGATATGGGTACTTTGGTTGTCCTTGTAACCTCCAGTTATTCTGTCATTGTCTTGTCCTTTTCAGGTATATCACATTCTTCTGTTTTTCTAGTTACAGCTATGCTACAGCAAGTATCAAATTATGAGCAGTGTATTTCATCCATTAAAAACTGCTACATCTCACTAGTTCTCATCCCTGATACAATGGATGCAAATGTTGACACATTGATCTTAACATTTGGAAATTGCTCTCCCTGGCTAAAGAGGGGAACTGGCCAGAGTGGCAGATTCTGAAAGGTGAGACACATCAACCAGAAGTTCTACCTACTAAGTCAGGGAAGAGAAGAGGTGAGTGGTAGCAGTTTTGGGATAAGAGTTTGCTATGGTAATTAATGGAATAGATGTAATACATGAATTATGATAGCATTTCTTGGAAGGAGGAAGTAGAAAATAAAGCTAACGTAATAGCTGATTTGGCTAATGGGAGCAGATTCTGAGTGGAAAGCATTTCTGAGCGCTGCATTCTTTTACATCATGATGCTGGCAGTAGATTCCTAAGTATTTATCAATTTACTTATTCAAACAATTTACTTGTTTAAAGTGTCCCTGCAAGGAGAGTTCCAGAGGAAGCTCTATAAGGAGTTGCTGAAGAATTACAATCCTCTGGAGAGGCCTGTGGCCAATGATTCCCAGCCGCTCACTGTCTACTTCACTCTTAGCCTCATGCAGATTATGGATGTGGTAAGTCTTTAACATTACAGGATGCTATTTCTTTAAAAGGCTAAGTATTACTGCACCCAATTGACTTAGCCATGGAAATATGACGGTGATGGGTGGATGGTAGAGCTTCTTTGGGAAAGCACGGGTAACTCGGACAGTCCAAAGCCAAGTTTTGACTGATTCATTTTTAAAAAAATAAATCAAGATTTTAGCTATGTCAAATGTAAGTCTCTTTCTGAGATCTATTCAACCTCCTAGATATTCACAAACCTACCAATTCTCAGAACAGATCGCTTTCAAAGAAAGAGTCAAGGTTTCTTCTTTGCTTTATTCTATTCCTTAATTATACTTTGATCCAATGTGAAAACGCTGTCTTTTGAAAGAGATGTAAAACAAAGATCCTGATTACAGTGGCTGTTAAAGAACTCGTGGCACTTTTTGGTGGTGGGGTATCCGGCCAAATCTCACCTTGGATCATTGCATTTTACATTGCTCCTGTATCTTAATTTAGATAAGCTGTTCTTCATGTCCTATCCTAAACTTTTATGTAACTGTGTGCTGTTAATTAGCTGCTATGTTCCACGCCACAACTGGCTGCATATCCATGGTGAATGAAATGATTCCTGTGCAGAGTTTGTTATATTTGCATTTGTGAAATGACAAAACTGCTGGGAAAAATCCCATGAATAGCTAGAATGTACCACATGAGGTCATTGATATGTGATATTGGGGTGGTTATACTTTACTGTTCACCACATCATTCATTTTTATTAGATTTGAAGTCATTTAGTAAAGAGGTTAGTTATTTAAAAACTAATAGTTAACCTCCAAATGCCATAGTGTCTCCAGCAGATGTTCAAAGTAAAAAACATTAGGAGCAGCAGAATCAATAAACGGATGGGATTATACATGACAGATACTTGTTATTTTTTTATTTCCTTACAAGCTGCCGATTGGCAAAAGCTAGTCATTGTTGATTTACTATCAAAAGGTCAGTACATTGAGAGCTGTGCAGGCTTAAATGTTCATAGTCTCTAGTAAACATCACTTTTAGGGTGCAAGTTTTAGATTTCCAAGATCTAAATGGGAATCATGATAGGTATTTCCAGTGTGTGATTTATTATTCACGACATGAGTATAGCTAGTAGTAGGCAAATTTTTGTGTCTGTGCAATTAAAGCCAACAAGTAAACCTATCACTTATATTCTAGTTGTGGCTATTGTCATAATAGTTTTAATACATGGCACATCAGAACATAACACTGGCCATACTGGGTCAGACCAATGGTCCTTCTAGCCCAGTATCCGGTCTTCCAACAGTGGCTGGTGCCAGGTGCTTCAGAAGGAATTAACGGAATAGGGCAATTTATCTAGTGATGCATCCCCCTCCAGTCCCAGCTTCTAGTAGTCAAGTTAGGGACAGACAGAGTGTAAGGTTGCATCCCTGACCATCTTGGCTGATAGCCATTGATGGACTGATCCTCCATGAATTTATCTAATTCTTTTTTTAATCCATTTATACTTTTGGCCTTCACCACATCCCCTGGCAATGAGTTCCATGGGTTGATGGTGCATCAACCTGTGGAACTGGTGGGACACTGGATAGGAGGACAGAAATTACAGGCAGCGTGTCTCTAGGCGCATTAGGGAGGGAAGGATGGGTGTTTTATGTAGGCTGGAATAGGCAATTTGAAGAGGCACTGGCAGGTTAAATTTGCTGCATAATTTAATCTCAGACTGTGGCTGCACCTGCATGGGCACATAGTATCGGGAGAGGTCAACTATGATGTGGGTCAGAAGCACAGGCACAGCAGTAGACTAGTGCTGTAGATGGTACTACCTTCCCTGTTGGACGGTATACAGGGCGATGGTATTAGTAGTAACTGTTTGTTATGGTAGTGCCTAAGAACCGACCAAGAATGGGGGCCCATTGTGCTAGGTGCTGTACAAATCCAGAGTTACAGACTGTCCCTGCCTCAAAGAGCTTACAGTCTAAATGGACAAGACAAGCACCAGATGGGGAAAGGGGTGTTAATCAGAAGCATAATGAACAATGTGATGGCAGCAAACGTGTTAGTTCCACATTTTTTTGGGAAGTGGGGTGGGCTTAATTAGGAGGGGATCAGCTAAATGGAAAGAAAAATGAAGGAAGAGAGCTCCCTGAGGAAAGGGGGACGGGGCAGGGGACAAGAGGGTAATAGGGGCTGATGTAGATGGAAGCTGAGTTGAAGGGAGTGGGAAGGAGAGGTTGGAGCAAACAGCCAGTCAGTGCAGGCAGAGGAAGTCCACTCAACTGTAGAACATTCCCTGAATGTCCGAAGGCCCCTGCATTGGCTGCTTCTGCAGCTGTTCCTACCAGCTGGAGTCTCTGGCTGGTTCCTCTCAGCAGTTGTTCCCTAAGGACACGTGGGGAGGGAGAAGAGGGGAGAGGAGGAGAGGCACCACTTGGGTCCTAGTGCCCCCAGAGTAGAGGAGGCATCTCAGCTCAGTTCTGGGTCCAGAGAGATGCTGGGGAGGAAGTGTGGCCCTGACTGGATTCTCTGGCTCCCCGTGTGTGCTTTCTGCACCTACTTACTTATTTAGATTTCATCTCTTTGTGCCTTCCTGCCTTGATAGTTCCAGAATTATCAGAAGAGCTCAGCACTCCTTATTGGGGCCAGACTTTCAAAAGAGTTCAGCACTCTGGATGATGAGCACTTGAAAATCTGGCTGCCACCTCTTCTGGTCTAATATGTAATTATGTACAGTTACAAATGCAAACTTCAACATGGTGCAAAGTACCTTAGCTGAACTCCAAACAGACTTCAAAAAAGCCTTCCACACCATTGATCTAATTTCCAACATGGCCTCTAGCTGCAGAGTTCCTGCTTGAGTATGTGCCTTCCCTTGCAGGAATTCGGACAGTGCAGCACGGTCCCCTCCATACGCTGTGCCTCTCGTACAAATACGTTTGTGTAAAACCTAAGACCAATCAGAGTGTTTCCATACTTTTTTAATTCCAAAAGTAAGTTTTGTTAAAAAAAGAAAAAGCAAATCAGTGCCCCCTTTGCAGTGCATTTAACCCATTTCAGCATTATGCTGATGCCTGAGAACCTGAAAGTGAAATTGACAGGGAACTGGTCAGCTAGACAATAAGAAAACTGATTAGTCTATATTTGTTTGAGCTGAAATACAGAAAGCAAACAAATAGCATGAAAAGATGAAAGAAGTTTAAAAATGATTTATTTTAATAATTAAAGGTGCTGTTTATAACAAAATTAATTACATTTAAGGGCTTTAAAAATATAGACCATATATGATGTAGCCTTACTGAAGTCAATGCAATTACACCTGGAATTAATTTGGACCATATATGTTAATCTGTGTCTACACTAGAAAGGGTTTGCCAGTAGAGCTGTACTGGCAAATCCTCCTAGTGGCGATGTAATTTATATCAACAAAAGAGTTCCTTTACTGCTATACTTATACCAGTTCTCTGAATGAAATAAGCTATGCTGTGAGGCTTTGTCACTGATATAACTGCACAAAGGCTGGAGTTTTTGCCAGCATAGCTATGATGTTGAGGGGCAAGATTTTCCCCCCCACACTCATAATCGACATAGCAATGCAGGCAACACTGTTAAGTGTAGACCGAGCCCCAATGAACTCTAATCAGAGTGCAAATAGTTGGATACTCAAATGGCTAAAGGTCAACAGCTAGTGAACTTCACAGAGTTGTCATTTCTTCTGGAGTTGTCGAGTATAATAAAAAATAATAGAAGGAAAAGGCAAATATCCATTTATCATTAGATTGAAAACTCCTTTCTGTACATTGTTGTTGTTTTTTTTAATTCAAACAACAACAAGCCAGTGACACTGTAGTTACTCACTGTAAAATTGATTGCATCTCTCCCTCCAAGTGTTGGGATTGACAGGCATGGGGAGAAGCCAACCAGGCTTCACAATATAAAATAAATGAGTATTCTGCATTTTCAACAAGAATCAAATACTGAAGGGAATGATGAGTACTCGTCACAACAAATTACTTAATGAGCTAGTAACAAAATGTGCCACCAACATATTTCCTGGTGACTAATGCATTCACTTTACTTGGCTCACTTAGTGGTGGATTAAGGGTGCATCTCTAGTGCACCGGACTGGACACCACCTCTACAGGAGGCCCTTTAATTTCCCCTGGTGAATAGAATGTGCAAGCCCACAGCCCAGCTTATTCATCTCACTTCTGTTTTCTCCTACACAGGGGAAAGAGGCAGAAAGTACTTCCAGCCCCTCTGCCACAGTGGGGGTTACTTCCTCACAGTTTTTAATGGTCCCTGAAAGACCCAGTGAATGCTTCCCCCTGTCCCCCGAGGGTACTGAGCCTACTGAGTCCTCTTTACTGCTGTGCTTATTACTATAGAGGCTGACATCAGCATTAGGTAGAGAGGGAGCTACTCAGATCTTGTGGTGGTGGTGGATTGAGAGATGGAGTTAGCACCAGGCTTTATGGGAAGAGTGGTCACTGAGGGACTGCAAGAAGCGGGAGGGGAAACAAGGGGACCATGCCAAGAGAGAAGCCAGGGAACAGTAGAAAGGACAGATGCTGGGAAACTGGGAGGTCTGTTAAGAAGAGGAGAAACGGGGAAGGCCTGGAGGGGATCAAGAGGAGAGATTGGGGAGGATTCTTCAGAGGAAAGATGGGATTTGGGATGGGAAGATGAGTGGGAGATGGGACGGGAAGAGTCAGTCCTGTGGTTGAGTAGAGGTGGGCGTGGAAGGAGATTTGTGACAATTTATTTCTAACAGTGCAGGTGGGTTCTGTGTACCATTTGGTCTTCATTTCTCTGCTCACCAATAGAAAATCATTGCATGCACCTCTGTGCACTGAAATCTTTATCTTGTGTTGTCCAACTCGTCTTTTTTTCCATATTGTACCATCCTCAAGTTTTAAGGGGAGGAGGTGACAGTCAACCGGAACTGGTTTTTAAGGGCAGATACAGATTAATATTTTCCCATAGACTTTATTTTTGTTTCACCTTTTTT